CAACCTTAAGAAATGGGGCCACAAAGTGGAGTCCACGACATGTGAGTGCGGAGAGGAGCAGACCACAGACCACCTATTACAATGCAGCCTGAGCCCTTCCACATTCACAATGGAGGGCCTTCTTGAAGCAACACCAGAGGCACCTCAAGTGGTCAGCTACTGGCCAAAGGAAATCTAGTATAATGCCAAGTTTTGAAACTTTATGTTTTTTTAAAAATACATTGCAACTTTACCTTTGGTTTGCTCCTTATATGATAAAAGAAATGGCACCCTGATACTCCCCAGCTGCCTGGCTCTGGCCCCAAAGGCCCCTGTGGGCATCCCTGGAACCGGACTCCATGAAAACGCCAAGGGGGTCAAGAGAGAGAAAGGGGAGAGAGTGTTCGTTACCTTCCAGGAGCTCCAGGCTGGCTCCTCCGCCGGTGCTGACATGGCTGACTTTGTCCTCGGTGTCCCACTTGGCGCAGCAGGTCGCAGTGTCCCCGCCGCCTGCTCAGCAAAAGACAGGATGGAAATGCGTTTTAGAGGCTTTGGGGTGGGTAGCGGGAATCAGTTAATACTGACTGATCAGCCACTGCAGAACCTCGCCAGCAATGCAGTCCACTCGCAAGTCAGTCTGTCTACTAAATTTCTTAAACCAGTGTAATTGTCCAAAAAATATAATATTATATACATATACATATATAACATGTAATATTACTAATAATATTACATTATAATGGTATAGTACAACATAGTAATATATAATACTGATATTGTGCTATGCTAATAATATAATATATTGTATGTATAGATATCTTATAAGCCGCTCTGAGTCCCCTTCTGAGTGAGAAGGGCGGCATAAAAATGTCGTAAATAAATAAATATAATATATTGTATGCATATATATATATCTTGTAAGCTGCTCTGAGTCCCCTTCGGGTTGAGAAGGGCGGCATATAAATGCCATAAATAAATAAATATAATGAAATACAATATAATACTACTAATAATATGATATTATAATTATATATTTTATATTACTAATAATATTACAACATAATGGTATAGTACAACATAGTAATATATAATACTGATATTGTGCTATGCTAATAATATATTGTATGTATATATATCTTGTAAGCTGCCCTGAGTCCCCTTCAGGGTGAGAAGGGCGGCATAGAAATGTCGTAAATAAATATTATAATGAAATACAATATAATACTACTAATAATACGATATATTTATATATTTTATATTACATGTAATATTACTAATAATATTACATTATAATGGTACAGTGCAATATAGTAATATATAATATTGATATTGTGCTATGCTAATAATGTAATATATTGTATGTATCTATATCTTGTAAGCTGCTCTGAGTCTCCTTCGGGGTGAGAAGGGCGGCATATAAATGCCGTAAGTAAATAAATATTATAATGAAATACAATAAAATACTACTAATAATAAGATATTATAATAATATATTTTATATTATTAATAATATTACATTATAATGGTATAGTACAATATAGAAATATATAATACTGATACTGTGCTATGCTAATAATATAATATATTGTACGTATAGATATATCTTGTAAGCTGCTCTGAGTCTCCTTCGGGGTGAGAAAGGTGGCATATAAATGCCGTAAATAAATAAATATTATAATGAAATACAATATAATACTACTACTAATAATAAGATATTAT